CGTCGGTCCTTTCGTTCTTGTTTATTCGATCAAAACCCGCAGAGTCGTCGTTTTGCGACACGGTTCGCCTGAGCGAAGCTCAGCTACGGAGATGCGTCGATTATGGGCGGCTTATCGGGCTTATCGGCGCGTCCGTGTTATTTCCTACGAGCGGCTGATAGCACCCGACGTAGAAATAGATTTAATTGTGGCGAATGAGCCGCGGAGGGCTGGAGGGAGGGCGAAGCTCGGTCAAGGCTTCGTTTATTTACATTGTACAAAGTGCATCGCGTTCACATCGCCGCCGACGACGACCTCGCGCGCGTTCTGCTCTCCCGCGCCGATTACTTTCACCCCGATACGATAACGCGATCGGTCGCGTTTGGAATTATTTCGGGTAACGAGCTCATCGTGAAACTTCTTAAATGTCACCAGAGTTTGTCGGAGTGAAGCGGGAGGTAAATTAAAAATAGAGATGACGCAAGAGTTGCCGGTCGCGCGTAGGAACAAAGTAAAGGGGGCCGATCAAGCGGAAATAATCGAACCGAACTAATTTAATCCTTCATCTCCAGGGGCCTCGCACTCTCGGTCGAGGATCGCGAGGTGTCTCGTACAGCGTAACGTGACGATTAATTGACGCGTGACATTTCCGAGCACGTGTCTTCCGAATGCGGGCTCGTCGTTCTCCACCTGGAATTTTCTCGCGCTCTACCTTCGCAACATCTGTTGCTTCGCTGTCGGCGACGCGACATCGCGCAGTCTCTCTCTCTCTCTCGGGCTAGAAACGAGATTTTAATTAAGCTCGGTCCCCCGCGAGATGCAGCATCGCGACGCGCCGAGATTCACCGAGAGTCTCGCAGTCTACGAAGGAGGCACTTCCGCGCAAATGTGTGCCACGGGTTTCCCACGAGATGCGCTGGCGAACGGCGGCATAGGCGCGGGCATAGACCAATTACTACCGGGAAGAGAGAGAGAGAGAGAGAGAAATTCTGACTCGCGCGATTTGCGTGGAGAGCGACGTTCGATCTCCTGGCGTTTGGTCGCCCCCCGGAGGAAAAAAGGAAGACGCGCGGCGCGTCGCGTCGCGTCGCGTTTAATGACGGTCACGACGGTTGAATCGGCGATTACTCAGCGAATGTTCGCATAACTGTTCACAGGCGGTGCGCTGCGAATTCGCGGCCGCGATTGATCCTCGCCACTGAAAGCGGTCCGCGGACGCCGTTGACCTTTCAGCGGAGATCCTCGAGAGCTCCGCGTACTACGGAAAAGCTGATCTCGTTGAATCTAAATGTACCTAACGATGCACCCTCCAGGATCCTTTAAAAGTCTTAGCCGTGGGCTAAGGGCCTGAACAGAATGGCTGTCTTGTACCATATTCTTAAAGGCCTGTGTCCACGATGCTAGAACTTGGTCCAACAGGCCTCAAGGGCAGGTATTGTGCGTTACCTGAAGACAAAAATTTAAAACGTAAAACGTTGTCTTAAGAGTACAAGACCAGCCACTCAGCTCAGGCCCTAACAAGATAAATTGCCATCTCGCGACAGTGCGCGAGAAATCAACTGGTCCCCGCGAAAATGCGTCTGCGGTGGAACCGTGGCGGCGGTCGCGAATAAGCGGGCCCAATCGCGAAGGGTAAATGGAGTCACGGTTTGGTACGCCGAGGCCAACAAGAACGCCGGCGAGATGCAACGGTATACGTCATAACGTTCCCACGGTGAATCGGCCGGGCGTTTCTAACCGACTGACGGAGATGCGTCGGCGATTCGCGTTCTTGCCGCGACTAATCGTGACTGAACAACGACGCTTCTCCCATCCGCGCGAATTGGACCCGCGTCGTTCGGAGATGCGCTTCACCTGCTTTCCCGCGCGGAGATAAGAATCGCGCTCCTGTCCTTTGGGGACCGCGCGACTTTCCACCTGTCTTTCCTCATTTGATCTCGATTACGGTCGTGCAAGTGTTACAATTTCCGTTGCCAAAATCGAATCACAAGCAACGAAAAGAAGAATTAGCTGGAAACTCTACGGCTCGTATAAAAATTTGCTTCCTCGTTGCGCAATCGAGTCTCGGAAGTCGACCCGAAGAATAAAATCGACACTTGACCAACCGCCGCGCGTATATCCCTAATAGCGTTTAGATGACCAGCGTTTCATTGTCACTCGACTTATTCCGACCTTTTTTTTTTATTAGCCTACGCGACGACGTAATAAAGCGTGCTCGCGGTGGCCAACCAGCAGATCGACCGGATGATACGCGGGTTCCAGGAACGAGCTCTATCCGGGTGATTCCGGATTTCGCAATGTTGCCTCACGACGGGCAGAGGCTCCTCTCGGGTGACCGGCCGAAAATTAGCTACGCGAGAAAACGAGCGGGCCGGGGACACGCAATCGCGCGGTTATTGCGACCTCGACTCCCGTAAAATCTCGGATACCCCGGCGCATTTACTTTTTACATAATTGCACCTAGTAACGGTCCCGCCGAGCGAGCGAGAGAGACGGAGGAAAAAGCAACTGTGCCGCCTCCCCTTCCCCTCTCGACGGCGAAGGGAAGGAGGGAATTAGAAATTACAATTAGCGCGAACGCGTTTCCTAATACGCGCGCCTTACCGGGAGCGTGAGAAACCGAACGGTCCGCGATTTTTCACCGGTACTGGTTTTTCACCCACCGTCCGCGTTTATTCAGTCGATCTCGACAGTCGCAGCGACCGCCACTGCTCGATTCTCATTAGCAGATTAATCGCCGTTAATATCGGTGTCTGGCAACTTCTTATATCGTGCATTGAAGTTCAACACTGTTCTCTTGGTACAGTTTTCTCGCGATAATTTTCGACGGTCTGGAACGCTCTCGTGGATGGATCGCGCGTGTCTGCGTATATTTCGATCGTTAGGAGTGTATGTAAGCAAGAGAAGGTAGATAGACAAATTAAGCTCAAGCGAGAAGCGCGTAGTTTCATTCATGCTTGTCTCTTTCTGGAGTGACACTTGGAAAGAGACAAAGAACGAATGAAGCCAAGCTTAACTTTAATCTGAGTTTAATTCATGTCCGTCTCTTTCTAAGGTAATAATTGGAAAGGGACAAAGAACGAATGGAGCTAAGCTTAACTTTAATCCGAGTTTAATTCATGTCTGTCTCTTTCCAAGGTAACAATTGGAAAGAGACAAAGAACGAATTAAGCTAAGCTCAAAGGCAAGCGACGTTGGAGAAACCGGACCTAAGCTAAACTCGCGAAGGGGCGAGTTCAGCTTACAATTTAGATTCCTCCTCCAGCGAGACATTAATTGTTCTGTGATTAATTAACGCTGTGGGCACCCTCTTGTTAGCTCACCGGTATCTCGGGGCACATCGCCTCTTCCGCATTTTTATTTCTCTCGCACGGAGGAAGCACCGCAGGTCCGCGATGAAGTCGCCAAAGTGCAAATCAACTCCCTCTCCCTCGTGTTATTATAACGGCGGTTTCCGGGCCGCGTCCGTTTTGCAGGAGAAAGCAGATTGTTCGGTGTATGTCAATACTTGGCATCCGCACTTGGCGGCCGCTTCCGGTGCGAAACGTGCGGTTTCCGGCGCACGTACAGTATCGGGTCTACGCGCCTCGGTATATCGATAGTCAGTAAGAACGAGGCTCTCGCGGGCGCCGGTCGCTTCGGCGCGATACTCCCCGGTTTGCTTTCAAATCGCGAACAAAGAGAACTCTCGAGGTGTCCTCAGGATTCCTTCCAGCTTTATTAAATCTGTTATTAAATACGTGCTATCGTCGTGCGCTATCTCTACGCGAGTGACGAGTGTTTGTAAAAAAAATCGAAGCAAGCGACCAAAGTGTTTGGATGAAAGGCAGAACAGTGATAGAGCGTCAGCGACCTTCTCTTTCCGAAAGATCTTTGCATAAAGTGTAGAAATTAAATTACCAATTCTTCCGGACCAAAGGCACATCCCCCTTCGCGGTTGCGTCGAGCTAATGCGATTTCCTCGCCGATCGCCTGAAAACATCCTGGCGGTAGCCCCGCATTCCGCACTGGCGGAGCCCTGCATTATGAAATACCGGAGTGGAAACGCTCGACGGGCCCCGACGAGAGGTGCTCTTGCATACGAGTTCCCCGATCGAATTTCTCCTTTCCTTTGCGCCGCGCTGAATAACCCTCTTTGTTCCCCGTCCGAAGTGGCTACCTCACCTCGAGTGAATTTCCCGGCCGCGCTAGAAAACGTTCGACGGCCTATTTTCTTCCGGCAAACGCCACCACGGGTCCCGCGGTCGAGAAAAGGAGAAATCCCAGCGCGACCGATCGCAGCCTACGCCTACGCGCCTATGAAACAATCGGTCGAAAGGTCGAGGCGATCCTTGGACGGCGCTCATGAGGCCCGGCTCTTGCGTCGAAGATCGAAAGACCATAATCGTTCTCATATAAATTAAACGTCGCCTATCTCATTTCTTCACGCATAATCTACACTTCGTAGGTGTATTCTGAAAAGAAGATTGGAAGTAGCCAAGTTCGAATTTTGCGTCCTTGTAAAAAGAAAATAAATATATCGAGTATCCAGGAGGAAAGCAAGTACACCGCCCAGTCAGAAATTACTCGTAGATCGATGTCGAAACGACGTCGAGTCGACGGCAATATGACGGTTTCGATGTCGATACGACGTTGTTTCGACGACGAATTACTTCTGACTAGGCGAGGACCTTGGGGCAGGCCTCAATTTCTCCTCTTAACCGCCGCAACCTTGCGCGAAAAGATATATTGTTTGTGGCTATTTATGCTAGTTATGGAAATATTTATTATTTACATAACGCCTAGGTATAAATAAAAATCCTCTTAGTTACGCGTGCGCGTAAATAAATGTTTATGTAACGCGCATAAATAAGCAATAATTTTCGCACGTTCTCCCCGCCACGTTCCAACGATAGATATTAATATCGATTGCGAAACGACGCACCTGCGGGACAAATGAACCGAGCGACTCCAAGCCTTCTGCGATAAGGCGCAGAGATCGGTGGAACGTTATCGCTGACGAGATCGTTTTTCTGTTTCAGCGCCCAGGTCCTCGAACGCGGGCACCAACAACCTGCCGCCGTTGACGTTTCACCACGTGCACGGTGACAACATCAGGCTGTGTAACGGCGGTACGATCGCCCGGAGACACGAGAGCTTCTGCAAGGGTGTCACCTTTAGCGCCAGACCCGTGCGAGTGGGCGAGAAGGTGAGGTCCATTCTCGGCCGTCAGTTTTCAAATCCGCCGGCCGGCGCCCGCGCCTCGATTGTGGGAAACCGGCGACCACTCGTCACGCTCGGGATACCGCCGTTCGCATTCCTCGGAATATTAAAACGGATCGCGGCGACCGTAAGAGCCCGGGCTTTTTGCGTGGGTCGTTCTTTTGCATATCGTCCGGGCTGGAGTTACGGGGGCCCTCCCGGCGATGCCCGGCGTACAGCTTATCTCTCTCGCGTGTCCGTCCGTAGTTAACGCGGAGCAGATCGTAACGGCTGGGCTGAATTACTGGAGCAATCTTCCATGGAATCACCGTCCGGTCTTCCGAGATCCGTCGCGAATACGCGAAGAGAGACCGGTCGCCGATATAAAGACCCCGCGTCCGCGAGACGCTAGAACCTGGTCCAAGTTCTAGTTTCGAGAAATGCGTATAGCCAATCGACTCGCGGCTATTCCATAAGAGCTCGGAGCTAGAACTTGGACCAAGTGGACGCAGGCCTTAAGACGAGTAGGCGGGTCGCGCCGGGCGTTTAAGCGTACATTTTCGGTTTCTGCGCGACGTGTCCTAATCGTAGTCGTAGAATCGTAATGACGCAACGCGCGCGGGGGAGGAACGTAATCGGGCGTAATTAATTGCCGGAGGATGCCTCCGAACGAAGCTCCATTTTAGGATCGCTCGAGCGGCGCCTGTTCGCCGAGCCGTTTCGCAAGGTGCCTTCTGTTCTTTTCGCTTCCTCGTACAAATTACGGGTGAATTACGAGTTCTACATGGTCGCTTTTCTGTGAAACGACGCAGGTCTGCGTGAAGTTCCTGGAGATCTCCGACAATTGGAGCGGCGTGATCCGTTTCGGCTTCACCAGCAACGACCCGATCAACCTGCGGAGCGGCCTGCCGAGGTACGCGTGTCCGGATCTGACGAACAAGCCGGGCTACTGGGCTAAGGCGCTCGCCGAGAGGTTCGCCGAGAGGGACACGGTGCTCTTCTACTACGTCACGTCGGCCGGAGACGTGCACTTCGGCGTGAATGGCGAGGAGAAGGGCCTCTTCTTCAGCGGCGTCGAGACCCGGGGCCCGCTCTGGGCGATCATCGACGTCTACGGCAACAGCACCGCGATCGAGTTCGTCGATCCGAATCGCCAGCACTTCAACAACATACGCCGTGGCGCCGAGCACAGCAACGAGGACAATGCGCAGCACAGCAGGCACTCGGCCATGGACGATGCCAGCAACGCCGGCCGGGATGTCGAAAGGATCATCGTGCCGTCTATGCAGAACATGTCGATTCATCACGATCCCGACGTGGAGCTGCCCGGTCTCAGGTTTCAACCCTCCGGCGTCATCTTCACGCCACTGCCCTTCCACTCGTGAGTATCGAGCGTGCCGGATCGTCCACTCGCGTTTCATCCGGTTAATGCGCGCCGCGAAAAAGGTACCCGCACCGGCGCTTGGCTCAAATCGCAATTGAATTATCCGAGGAGAATTGTCTGGAACCTACTTGTCCCGCTTCGAAACGCTACTTGCGCAATTACGCTTTCTGATTAAAGTCGCTCGATCAAATTAGCAGAGTTTTGCATTACTCGACGCGATAGTGTTTTTTACTTTTTCCCCCCCTTTTTTTCCCCCTCCCAAGAGAACAACGCGAAAGTTGAAAGTCATCGATTTACAATGGAGTTACTCCAACCGGTGCACAACGATTCGCCGCGCCGTTCAGCCGCACAGAACTAATTCGCCGTCCGCTTTTCACGGTTTCCCAAGACGCCCGTCATTAAGCGAGCGAGCGCCGCTGAGGCTAATCGCTTCCTCGTTTTCTTTCTTCGCAGCACTCGGGGCAGGAACATCCGCTTCACCAACCAGCAGTGCGTGGCGACGCGCACTGACACGGAGTTCTGTCACGGCTACGCGTTCACGAGTCGGCCGTTGCTGTTGGGCGAGCGACTGGTCGTGCAGATCCTGTCGACGGAACCGATGTACGTCGGCGCCCTAGCTCTGGGCCTGACCTCGTGCGATCCGGCGCGACTCACGCCGGAGGACCTGCCGGACGATAGCGACTTGCTGCTAGACCGTCCGGAGTACTGGGTAGTCTCCAAGGACGTAGCATCGAGTCCGCAGCCCGGTGACGAGATCGCCTTCACGGTCACGCATTATGGCGAGGTGCAGATGAGCAAGAATGGCGGTCCGCCCAATGTCGTCATGCATGTCGATCAGAGCTTGCAGCTGTGGGCGTTCGTGGACGCTTACGGGAGCACTCAACGCGTCAGGATGTTGGCCAGTAGACCAACCTCGCCGCCCCGGCAACGTCAGAGCAATCCCTCGCCTGCCAATGTTCAGCAGCAACAGCAGCAGCAGCAGCAACAGCAGCAGCAGCAGCATTCGAATCACAGCAACGCCGCCACGGAATTATCCAGATTCACGGAGCTGGTGCAGTTCAAGCCGGCGGTGGGTGGCGGGACAGTGCTCGTCGTAAATCTACCACCTCAGTCCGGTTACCCGACGCCACCGCCGCCCACGCCACAGCCGATTTACGCCTCCGCGACGCACAGGAATTCGCCGGCGCAATCGGCGCATCTCTCCACGGCGGCGGCAACGTCGGCAGCGTCGGTGGCGTCGGCGGCGTCGGCGGTTGCTACACCCGCGCCGGTGTTACATCCCGGATCCTCCAGGCAGTCCTCGCCGCCATTGACCGGCACGATGGCCAGCACCGGCTCGTCGACGTACGTCGACCCGGTGACCTACCAGAGCCTGGACGGTACCCTGACGTCGTCGCGCGCGGCCTCGTCCCACCTGCAGCAGTGGAGCGAGGGACTGCAGCCGACGTTGGCCGGCCAGCCGAGCGAATGCTCCATCTGCTACGAGCGCAGCATCGATAGCGTGCTCTACATGTGCGGCCACATGTGTATGTGCTATACCTGCGCGATCCAACAGTGGCGTGGCAAGGGCGGCGGTCATTGCCCGCTGTGCCGAGCGGCGATCCGCGACGTCATCCGTATCTACCGGTCCTGAACGGTTCGGGACCGACCGAGAGAAGGACAGAGAGAGAGCGCGCGGACGTCTTCCCGGTTCCCAGCGCCGTCGTCGCCACCGCCACCGCCACCGCCACCGCCGCCGCCGCCGCCGCCGCCGCCGCGTCCATCACCGTGCTTCCGTCGTCTTGGTTTCCTTCCGCGTCGAATCCGCCGCGCTTCATCGCCGTCGCGCTTCTCGCCCGTCCCCACGACCGCACCGGAACGAACGAACAAACAAACTCAAAATCGAGGCGGAATGCGCCACCTTCACACTGCCGTATCTCTTTTTCTATTGAAACGCGAGGCACGTTCCGGCAAGTAAAACAAGTAGATAAACCGGGGAACGAGACACTTCCCGTGGAATATTCTCGGGGACTGCGAATCGTAGAGAGCTACGCCGAATCGAATATTTAACGCTATTAATATTTAAGGCAGTTCGCGACGCGTTCGCGTGATCGCGTCGCTGTCAATTAATATGTTAATAGGTGGACCATGCACAAAGAAAGCAGCGGTGCTTTCGAAATCACGATCACTGCCACCACTGTCGATTTTCGAGCGAGAACGCGGAGATGAATTGCCGCGGATACGGACAAAAAGTGAGAGTGTGAGAGAATGAGAATGAAAGCGAGATGAAAAGTGGTAGTTGGTCGAGTTTGCTTGTACATCGATATTCTGTCTGCCAATCTGTATTGTAAGTGAGAGTGAATGACTGCGAACTGTGCGATTGCGTCATCGACAAAAGAGATCGATCCTAGATATTTTCACAAGTGACATAATCGTCATTATACCATTACCAATTACTACTACCGCTCTCAACTATCACTATTACTATTCTACTACTATTACTACTACTTACCACCGTACTACTCTTCCAATCTTTAATTAATTATTTTATTATTACTATTACTATTATTAATGTTCTACCGCTACGATTAATTGTATTATTATTAGTTGTTCGTTCAGTGTAACTGTCCTTAATTATTCGCGAGTAGTTTCGTTTGCCACGACCGTTATTACTTTTACGATTTGCCGATTAGTGATGATTGGTGAGTTAACATAGTCACTATCTCGTAACGTGATTATTATTTAACGGACCGTGTGATTGCATAGCCCAAACTTTCCGATCAGACGCCTAGGATATCTGGATATTCGCGTCTTCGGCCCCACTTCTAGGGCGATCGAAAACTGTACCTCGTCGTCCGGTATCCTTGCCACGACGAGAGCGGGATAAACTCGAGGTCCTACATCGTTCATCTTCCTCAACTATTTCCTTGAGCGCTAGTGTTTGAGCGTCCGTGATCATCGCCGATCGTGTCAGGCGGGGTTTTACCAAAGATCCTGAGCGCTTCCCGTCTGTTTTACTCGGCCTTTCGCCACTCCAACGGGCATTCGCGTGCAGGCAAATCCTGACGATGACAATCGCTTCGATCTAGCTAATAATATTCGTTTTGCTAATAACGTCAGCACTCGTCACTTTAGCGTCCTGTGACACGATGTTTATACGCGGATTGATTGTGTACGCCTGACTACGATCAGTAAGAGATTTTTGGCCTTCGCGTAGCGATCCTGCGGGTGCATAATTTCGCGACATATCGCGAAACATTGTATAATCGATTTGGAAGTTAGTTGCGAACTCACACAGCGAAGCCTTTTTCGAATACTTTTCTAATTCGACAGAGCTTAGGACTTAAGGATTTACATTTGTTCTGACCTCTGCTGCGTGGCATTACGATTCGCGTTGACCCTTTGGACGTGAAAAGAGATGAGAACACAGTTGTGGCGTTGATTCCGTTGATCCGCGGACGACACGGAGTGTCCGGTTCGAAATATCTTATCTTAATCTTCGAAACGGTGTCTTGTGCGTCCGGTGTGTCTCATCACGCGCTTGTAAAGTTTTTTCGTCTCGAAAAGAAATTATTCTAGCTGGAGTTTATCTCTGAATATCTTCGTAAGTCCATCAATGTAAATCCAGAATGACGTTGTCCTCGTCAGGTGATAATGATAGGGAATTGTCAGTGTTTTAGTTTGCGATTTGCCTCTCTAAGAGAGGGAGACGAATTCTTCACAGTCCAGAGAAAACTTGAAACGACGAAACGATTTTCGAGCCAAAGGGGACGGCGTGCTTGGCCCTTTAAAGTGTTAATTTTTAACGAATGCTAGAGAAACGAGGAGGAGGAAAATCCCTCCCCTTCGAATATATGATAACGGATGCGCAATAAAGCGGTAGTGAAAATCTCTAGTCCAGCGAGCGGCGGACTTCGTCTGCCAATCCAAAAAGTATGATGAAAAGAACAAGGTAAAAAGCTTTTTCCTTTTTTTTTCTCTAAGTAAACGGAAGAGGGAGAATAGGTAGATACAGGGAAAGAGAGAGAGAGAGAGAGAGAGAGAGAGAGAGAGAGAGAGAGAGAGAGAGAGAGAGAGAGAGAGAGAGAGGTTTTATAGATACGAAGATATGAAAATTATTACGCGTGTCTGCCAGCGAACGGCGCGTCCAAGATTCTATTAAAAAAAAAGAGTATAACAATAGATTATTATTATTCTATTGATATGATACGACGAATAAAGAACTGTTCCAAAATGTTGTCGACGAAGCGACGATAGAGTGAAAGGTGCAGAGAGAGAAAGAAAGATGGGGTGAAAAGACATGCTCGATTATGATTACGACGAATGTTTATCATTATTATCATCGTTATCGCTGTAATTAGCGTGATTAGTTGCCGTGTTATTATTCTGTCGTCAGCCTGGCAGCATCTCGATCATTGCTCTACATTTTTACTTTAATTTACTATCGTCCTTATTATTATTATTACGATTATGCGACTAACGACATTTTAATTCGGCATTACTCGCAGAGCTTACAATTAGTCCGCGAGAGAGTACATTGTTTTTTTTTTTGTTACTTAGTCTCTGCTTTGCAACATCCTCTTTTAAATTCCTCACGTATCAGCGTAATACGCACAAGTACAGAGAACGTTCAAGATTTTTACACCACTTTACTATACTCGAAAAGGGGGGGAAGAAATAAAAGTTTTACGCTCTATGCGAGAGTTTCTCCGACCGTAATTGTAAAGATGCCGACGGAAATTTATACATATGTAATATAATTCGCGCAGCCAAGTGCTGTTCCACATAAAAAGCCTATAATATCTACGAGCGGCGTTCTGTCTTTCTCTCCCCGTTCCTCCCAATTCCCTCCGAGAATGTTAAGGAACCTCCCGCGAGTTCCTCAACAAGGAATACGATATAACGGAGTAAAAGCTGTGCTGCAGGATTTTTTATTATATCACGAAGACGTGCAAAAACTTGTATGTCTAAAATAAAAACGATACATATAAAATATGTACAAGAGGACAGCAAAACAATGTAAAAGTTCTAGAAAAGTGGTGCGACGAGGGAAAAAGGAAGAGTTCGTTTATCCCACCGAAGCGCATGGGTTCTTGGTGCACGCGATTGTCACTGCGAGTCTTTTGGGAGGCGCTTAGCCTTCTTCCTCGCCACCGATATCCAGGGAATCCGTGCCGACCTCTTGATAATCCCTCTCTAACGCGGCCAGATCCTCCCTGGCTTCGTTAAATTCGTTCTCCTCCATGTTCTCGCCGACGTACCTGACGGCGCGTTACAATTCGCGAATGAGGACAAGCCACGACCTGATCTTACTATTTTATAGAAACCAGCGGTAGTTTACCAATGGACGAAAGCTCGCTTGCTGAACATAAGATCGAACTTTCGGTTCAGCCGGCTCCACGCCTCCGCGATCGCCGTGGTGTTCGCCAGCATGGCCATGGCCCTCTGCACCTTTGCCAGATCACCGCCCGGTACCACGGTTGGTGGTTGGTAATTGATTCCTACCTGTCGTGATCAAAAACCACCCAAATCAAAACGACAGGATTTCAAAATTGATGCCGAAAGCGCGATTATCTCGTGCAAAATATTCCGAAGCGGGATAGTATAGCCGAACTGATAAATCGGATTTTGATTCCGAAATTCTTTTTGCGTCGACAGCGCACGAGCTTTTCCAACGCAAAGTAGAACAATTACGATCCACGATTCACGAATTACCGCAAAACGTTTGCTACTGTTACGAAGAAATGTCGCCAGAAAGAGAACCTTGAAACCCGTTGGACACCAGTCGACAAACTGTATTGTTCTCTTGGTCTTGATGGTCGCGATGGAGGCGTTGACGTCCTTCGGCACCACGTCGCCTCTGTATAGCAAGCAGCAGGCCATGTACTTGCCCCTTCGTGGATCACACTTTACCATCTGCATGGCCGGCTCGAAGCAGGCCGAGGTGAGCTCCATCACGGTGAGCTGCTCGTGATAGGCCTTCTCGATGGACACGATGGGCGCGTAGGTCGCTAGAGGAAAGTGTATTCTGGGGTAGGGCACGAGATTCGTCTGGAACTCGGTGAGATCGATATTGAGGGCACCGTCGAACCGAAGGGAGGCCGTGATCGACGAGACAATCTGGCCGATCAGCCGGTTCAGATTCGTATAGGTCGGTCGTTCGATGTCCAAATTCCGCCGGCAAATGTCGTAGATCGCCTCGTTGTCTACGAGGAACGCGCAGTCGGAGTTCTCCAGCGTGGTGTGGGTCGTCAAGATCGCGTTGTAGGGTTCAACGACCGCCGTGGAGATCTGTGGCGACGGATATATGGCAAACTCCAGCTTCGCCTTCTTGCCGTAGTCCATGGACAGCCGGTCCATCAGCAGACTAGCGAAGCCGGACCCGGTGCCGCCGCCGAACGCGTGAAAGATTAGGAAACCCTGGAGACCAGCGCACATGTCGGCTATCTTGCGGATCCTGTCCAGCACGAGGTCGATGAGCTCCTTGCCTAGGGTGTAGTAGCCGCGCGCGTAATTGTTCGCGGCATCCTCCTTGCCGGATATCAGTTGCTCGGGATGGAACAGCTGATGGTACGTTCCCGTGCGCACCTCATCTAAAGGGCGACAGAGAGAAGAACGTTGGAGTCATATTGGTGTTGTCAATTCATTATTGGTTGCCGTCGCAAAACGAACTTGCCTATCACCGTCGGTTCGAGATCGAGGAAGACGGCCCTGGGCACATATTTTCCACCGCCTGTCTCGCTGAAGAAGGTCTGGAAGCCCTCGTCGTTCGTGCAGGTCTGCGGCGGCAACATGCCGTCGGGTTGTATACCGTGCTCCAAGCAATAAAGCTCCCAGCAAGCGTTGCCCATCTGCACGCCGCCTTGGCCGATGTGGATCGAAAGCACCTCGCGCTATTGGTTTCGATTAATAATCAGTGTATCTTAACGCAAACCTACGTCTTTTACCATCAAGATATCACAGTAAACCATGTAGATCCGTACTGCTTACAAATTCATGTTTTTTTTTATTTTATATAAATTTGCAATCTCTAATGTCTAGAATTGTATCGAGATAGCGCATATCAATCCTATGACTGATTCGATATTTTATCACGCGGAAAAACATGATTGATGATTTCCGAAATATTAAATTCCGCAAATGACTAGGCTGCGTTGCTCGATATTTACCATTTTGAAGACTCGTTAACTTGCAATAGGTGGGATAAACGAGCGCTATTGGCACCGAAAATGTTTGACGCGGATTGATGACGACTGACGAGACGGTTTGTTTTGTGATTTTCTTTCTCGTTGTCCAGGGTGACGGAAAAAGACAAAGATGCAAAAATCTAGTAAGCCATGATTTTCAGATAGAGTTCTTTCAATCGCAGAATACTGTCGATATTGTCGTGAACGAAAAACTTCAGTTCCCTTCATTTTTGCAATTAAAAAATCGAAAGTTTCAAGACACTGGATCGTTAATCCAATATACTCGATATTTTATTATTCCTAAAAAATATTTCGTAACATTATTACAAGGGATACGTTTTTGGCAATAGAAATATAATTAAGATTGTTAGTTAACAACTTAGCAATACTTTCAGTTAAAAATACAAAAAGCTTGATGAAAAATCTGTTTTTGACATATATATATTTTTTGGATTAAGAAATAGTATATATATAATATATTAAATTAATAAACAATTAAAAATGTATAACAATATTATTAATGTGCATTACGTCTCTTCTTAATTGTCATTAATTCTAAAAGGCACCATTTAATTCTTGAATTCGTTAATTAGCATAAATAAACGATTATTGGCAGTATATGGCTCAAAAATAATCTCCGTGAAAAATTAGGCAGAGATAATATTATTTGGTCAGGCTTATACGACTGGGCATATCAACGAGCACGTGAGATCTTCTTGCTCTTATCGTTCTCGATGGCCGGTGGCGGACCTTTGGCACTCTGGTGTCGATTGTAAACGCTGAAAGCAGTAACAAAATATTTGTCGTCAAGACTCCGTCCGATCTATTACAAAATATGTTAGTCCAAATTAGTTGAAACGTTTGAAGCGCGAGGATTATAACGAAATTCAAGTAAAACGGACAATTAAGAAATTTTCAATCCCCGAAACGTCCGATTTAAGAAAAAAACTTAGCTATGCAGCAGTTCCCGATAAAGCGGGCTAGTAAAGGAACACCTACTATCGATACGTTTCCGAGCGAATGTAGTCGATGACGTGAGATATGCCCACTTGCAACTGATCGCCGATCGGAGTAACCCACGGATTGAACTCCATTCGGAATACAGCCTTGTTACTCACCAGATCCAGATTCCCTGTAATATGAATTATGCAGTACACGTTCTGCCTAGCTCTCTATCACAATTGCACGTACCTATCTCGGGGGGCAACACCGTCAAGCGATTTCCCTGAATATGCAGCTCCCTGAGACGTGTCAGCTCGCCGATCTCCTTCGGCAATTCGATCAGATCGTTCTCCCTCAGTACGAGCTGAAACGTCACGATCGTGAGAGCCTCTCGTCGAGAGAAAACGGGGGTATCTTTTCGTAAAACTGTAAAACTACGAAAGATCCTCTTACAATCTGGAGATTTTTCAACTGGCCGATCTCAGGCGGCAGATACTCGAAATCGTTGTCGGCGAGGTAGAGCGCTCTCAGGGTTTCTAAAGGAAGAACAAATTAATGCGCGGACTTTTGCGGGGAGGCGCATTAGGCGATTTAACAACCGTGACTGACCCATCATGAAGAAATTTCCGGGTAGGTTCTTCTCGCTGAGGTTGTTGTACGTTAAGTCCAGGACCTCGAGGACCGGAAACGCGCCGAAGCCGCGGGGAAGCACGTCCAGCCGATTCATTCTGTCGGAAGTTAAACATTCTGATTAGCTTCCGTCGTGAAATAAAGCTAAGTGCGGGGTGCCCTGTAAAATCTACACCGACCCCACATTCAGGATCCTCAACTTCGGCATTTGCGACAGAGATATAGGCAGCTCGGTGATGTGATTGTTGAAGAGATTCAGTATCTCCAGGTTGGCTAGATTGGCGAGACCCGGTGGCACCGCTGCACGAAAAATCACGTCATTGTTGTGACACATCGACTAAATTTGCGGACGATACAATTTTACAAAGCTTGAAGATACGCTCACCTTGAATTTTATTGTGACTTAGCGTCAGCCTCGTTACGTTGTTCATACTCACTGAAACACGCAAAAAACGACACGTAAGCTCGTCTTCAGTTTGAAAGAGAAAATGCAGCGATGATTACTCGTGCAAGGGCGCGAAACATCCAACATGTTCGCCTCATACTTTGTAAATATATTATTCCCTTGAACAAAATTGTCATAATTTCTAAACGGAAAGAGAAATCCTCTTTGAAAGTTTCGCGTTCGCGTGACGGAGCCTGCGCAGAAAAATTGCAATAGTTTACGCTTCCGTCGTAAAACGTAAATCTATGTCAAGCTTATTCTACAATGGACGCAAAACGCAAGACGCTAAGCGGCAACACAAAAAAATCGACCGATCACAGTCAAATCATTCCTCTCATATTTGATTGTGTTGCGGCTCAGCGTCTTGCGTTTCGCGTCCATTGTAGAAAATAAGCTTCAGAAGTCGACGCATAAAGAATGTCATGTCGCTTCGCGATGCAATGAATGCAACGTACGTCTACAATTGTTTGCGCGTTGACTTTCGACCTGCGCTTTTACAACGGAATCGTAAACGACCGCTTATTTCCGATCGTTCGCGCTACTCTAGGAGCGAAGTGTCAAATTTAAAAGGCCAGCGCGCGCGTGCGCGCACGCGCCTGCGCCGTCCCGCCCACGTGATCCGATTCGGCGCAGACGGTCCGCGCGGTGCAGCGGCTCGCGAGCGAGATGCCCGGAGCCGCGGGCGGCGGCGCGACAAGTTGCCTAATTTGGCGATCCGCGATGAGGCGCGCGCGCGCGAGGACGCGCGGATGAGACTCACGCAATCCTGGCATCTCCTCGAACGTCGCGACGCCCTTGTCCGCGAGGTCCAGCTCGGGATTCTGGATCTCCCGGGCCTCGTCCAGCACCTTCTTCGCCTTCGACATCTTCCCCGCAGGAATACACGACACTGGCGCGGCCTGATTCATTGCGCGCGCAATCGCCGTGCCACGGCACGCGACGGCTGCGTCGGAGGAGTCGGCGTCGCCCGTTATTGGCGGCGGTGGTGGTGGTGTGCCGCCGACGACTATAACTTGACGCTCTCTCCGTCCCGTGTCGTTTCCAGTTCGTTAGATGGCGTGATTCTTTCTTGCACCGCCTCTCGTCACTCTCCTTCTCGTTTTATCACGTAGATTTATATGCCACTGGAATTTTCATAAGGAAAATTTAGCATGTAAGACAGAGATTTTTTTTTAACTCGCAAAGCTCTCACTCCTTTATTTCTCTCGATAAAAAAAGTTTATCGCGAGCGAGACGTCCACAACGCTATTAGGCTCCATACTCGACTCACTTGACTGCGATAGTCACATTAGTTTTAATGATTTTTAAAAAGAGATCCCGAGAAGCAACGGCCAAACTTTGAGAGAAAAAGCGTCCATTGAAATGAAGTAAAAATGTTGATTAATCGGCATTGCCATTTTGTGAGCGGCAACTTTATGTGTGAAGACAAATGTAATTTTTCAACTTTTTCTTGTACTTTCTACTAACCGTGTTGGTGTATACACTTTAATTGGTATAAGGCCCGGTTTCACCAACGTCGCTTAACTTTAAGCTTAGCTCCATTCGTTCTTTGTCCCTTTCCAACTGTTTCTCTAGAGAGAGAACAAGAAACAAACACGAATTAAATTAAGATTAAAGTTAAGTAACGCTTGGTGAAACTGAGCCTAAGGATTTACAATTTTAAAGCTATTTCAAAGATGCGCGAAATACCGCGTTTCGGCCAGTAAATATTCCATTCCCTTCTAACATTTTTATTTACACGCAGTAAATAAAAATCAGTAAATAAAATAGATATTAAGATGTATAAACCTTAGTCTAATCTTACATTTGTCGTACAACAAATTTTTCAAGCGTGTTGATTGGCTGCCGAATAGAAAACTTCTAGATGCTCGAGAATTTTACTATCCTACAGCCAATCAACACACTTAAAAAATTTGTCGTACGACAAATGTAATATCAGCCTCAAGCCCGTATCAGACTGCGGATTGAGATTGAGATTAGATTGAAATTTGACCAATCGGAGTAAAAGCCACTAAGCTTGTTCCCTGTTGCTACACTGGTGAACTAATGCAATAAATTATATAGAGTAAAGCCCGCTGCAGACGATGCTATTTTTCCTGCTGGATTGCTTGCAATCTAATAAATTACCATCATTGCACCACTCAGCACTCAGGATTTCTAGCAATTTACTAAATCGCAAGCAATCCAGGGAAAATAGCATCGTCTGCTGCGGGCTTAAGACAAGTCTATTTTTTCTCATTCTAGCTTACTGCACTAGTTCACCAGTGCAGCAACAGCAAACACGCCTATAATCGCTGCCCGGATTCTGATGGCTGATGAATATTTTTGCTAAAGCCATCTAGCAATTTGGTTTTGTCGTGGCAAACCTGGTCAACATGGCGACGCGAAGATATATGAAACGGGGAACTCCGGGAAGGGCGTAAATAAGTTAAGATTCCAGCCGCGAAAGTGTTCAGCCGCCTCACCTTACCGGTCATCTGTATCTTCAAAATACTGCTACTTTGTACTGGTGCTTCCGGTTCAAAATACGCGCAATCACGATGGAGGAGCTTCGAGTCATGGTACGGTATTGCCGTGCTTTCACGCGCCAGCACGATTTCTTTTCTGCAACTCTATCCTTATACCGTAACCTCAACCTCAACTACAACTATGTAGTTGAGGTTACGGTGTAAGAAAAAAGACGTACGTTTCTTCGTGTCAGCGAATCTTGTTCTATTGCCGGTAATCTTATCGCGATCGCGTTATTTAATCACCGCTCGAAATAAACGAGTCGAGTGCGACAAAAGATTGCGTTCACGAAACCATGGAAGTAAGTTATTTTCATAAATATCTTACAACGTCTTAGAGCAATACCTTTATTATGTTGATCTCGCTACGACTTTTGAAATATGCATGTTCAATAATTGCACGTCCAGTTGCATGGAATAACTTTCATAAATCTGTTTGCCCTCAGTGGTGTGATGCACTCGAGGAATTGCTTCAGTGTCCCGTGTGCTTGGAAGTATCACAGGGTGTTAAGGTCCAATGCTTAAACGGACACCACATATGTAATGCATGCAGGGTGCAGTTGCAAGTGTGTCCCATATGTAAATCCCAATTTATCGGAACGAGAAATTTAGCAGTGGAACAAATCTCAGCCAAGCTGCAGGACATAAAGGTACGATCGTTGTTTCTGGTTAATGCAGCGATGATAATAATAACAAGGGACACAGAACGACCCAAGGATAATACAAGACAGTCCCAATTTAAACCTTTCTCTGTCCCGAGTGTCTATCAGTTTTTAAATAAAACGATCGGGAGCAAACGATGTAGTTCTAAATGGAAGTATCGCTTCGTAGTTATCCTTGTTGAATCCGTATCATGAGCTCAACAGAAGAATTCTACACAATAAGATTTGCGTGGCCACTCAAACCGAAAATATTTTCACGCTTTCCACTGCCTGCCAAACTGAATCCGCGAATCAAGATATATCGATCACCCCAAGAACCGAACAACAGAGAACGACGACAAACCTGGCGCCTAGAGTAGGAAAGGGGTCTTATCCGTGTCGTGTTGGGTCTTGCGTGATGGAACTGCCACATGGAAGAATGATCGGCCACTTGAGATACCACCATAAAGATGTATTTTACGAGGTGACTCAGCCAACTTTGTAAATGCGAATTGAACTTACAATTAAGCTTCTCGAGGGTGCAATTTTTTTTATGGTCAATTGTAATTACAGTTCAACGCAAAAAATAATGTATTACAAAAGAATTGGAACCTGGAGTATATCTACAATCGGGATTACGATTTCGCTTTTCATATCAAAGAGATGGGCCTGTTTTTCTTGAATATCTCTATAAATCAGACAGGGGATCTAACGGCTTTCCTACAAATTGTTAATTGCATCGCTGTATGCAAACAATTCACATACACATTCGAAGCAGTTGGGGGATTTGACGCTATTTACAGTGGCCCGGTAAGATTATCCCCATTACTGTTCACGTATAAAGCGCTCCGGTTTTTTTTTAAATATTTAAGAATAAAATCGTAATCACTTTATAAAAATAATTATACGATCTCTCTATAACAGTATTTTTAAAGAAGTATTTTATGTTTAACATTGAATGTTATCGCCTATAATAATATTAAAACAATTTGTGTTTTCAAACAGGTGAAATCATGCAGAGGGCCAAGGCCGTGTACACCAAACGACTGTCTGCGCATACATCAGAATAATATGCGCCATCTAGTTGACAATAAAAACTATTTCCATTGCAATCTAATGATAAAACGTAGGTTTAACAGAACAGCCTCCGTGCAAAATCCGATGAATGCTTCCGATGACATAGTGGACAATTAATAGAAGTTAAACGGTTAATTTTTTTTATACAAAAGAACAAGAGAAAGTTGACGATTATTTTACTATTAGCTTTTTCTGTAAAATATGATCTGTATAAACAATTTAAGTTTACTTTTTAGTTCAGTAGAAATTTTGGTCGTTCAATTGCGTTACTGGTGCCTACGATTATATAACTGTCGATGTAATTTAAGTAATTTAAATGTTCATTGAAACGCGCGGAGAGCGTGTATTTTTAAGTAACACTTTAGTGGTGACTTGCGTCTCTCAGTATTGCCTAATTGAACTTAAAAAAAGAGATCGAAAGACTGATTATATTGCGGATTGCAGACACAGATGCAATCAGATATGGATAACGTGACAAATTTCAATCCGATATTTCGTTATAATTGCAGTTAGGCAGTACTGTATTTAAAAAAAAAATAGGAAGGGAGGAAAAAAGTATTACTTGCCATATTTTTTGCCTGGAACGCTTCCTATATATTCTTTCGGTAAAATTAATTTCAGAAGTTTTGACGTGTGAATTTCAAGAACTTTTTATCGCGACGAAACGAAGGAAAATTTCGTGATGTGTACGTATTGCATTCACAACGCATGTGATATAACTTTACATATAATATTATGGACAGAAAAGTTACTAACGTGTGATACTTCTATATACGAAATAAAGTTATTACGTTAAAAACGAGCGTGTTCAATCGCAATTGTCGTTTTGTCCCTTCTGATTTTCAAGTCACGGCATCCGGGACGTAGTCGAGACGGGACGACGCGCGCCGCGTTTTGACATCCTGGATAAACTTTCGATAAATGAGACGTGTTTTTATTGTGCGCCTTCTAAATACGCCAACGATACAGAGTCATACGCGCGTCACTCGTAATTAGTGTCTACATTTTCCTTTATTTCCTGCGTACTAATTTAACGTTTCGCTAAGGGCTACCGCATCTCGCACCTCTAATACCTTTTTTTTTCTTGTTGCTTTTCTATTTATTCCCACATATGAATTAAATTGCAGTTGTGAATCGGCAGATACTTGTCTCTCGCTCTTTGCTCCGTTTAATTTGCAAGAAATCCACCCCGAAAATGTATATTCCGAGTCTCCCGAGTCTCACGTGTGCAATTGAAAAATAACGAATATTCTATTATCCCTGTGCATATCATAATGCCTCGAGGAAGACGCCGCGCCTCGGTCAACCTCGGTTATCTGCTCTTCCCTACGTGTCTTTTGACAATTTCGCACATCTCTTGTCGAATAGTTAGGTAATTATTCGCCACCGCGCACGCTTGTGGTTACTTAAATCGGCATACGCTGAACGCGAAATTACACTCTGCTTGGCCTCCTCAGCGGATCCTCCGCGCATCCCTTCAAGTGGTACCTCCCTCGCGTAGCGACTTCTGCTGCTCCAGAAGCCGCTCTAACGGGGAAGGACCCGGCCCGGACCACAGAGACTGCTGATGGAGCCGCGCTTTCATCTGATCTTGATTGGTCGAGCTCGAATTGATGGATGTGCTAACGGTACTCCACGTGTTGCCACTGAACAAGGAGTAAGTGTTGCCGGTGCTCACTGCCTGGGACGGCTTCTGTTCGAGCTAGACAAGAACATTATCAAATGTGTGCATTACATTAATCTAATTACTCAAGACAAAATGCGTTTATCACAAATTTGTCAATTTTTGCAGTTCGCAAAGTAAGAATCACCCAACATTGACGTTAAACAAGCCTTATAATTTTCGTGCGTTGAACTAAAATTGTTAATAATCATGTATGACTTTGAAAGGTGTTCTTAATTGTATCAGGCGTAACGTATGATTTAAATATGCACGATGAGAAATTATAGATAGCCTTTATCTGTGTCGAAAACTATAAATGTTACAAGTCAGATAACTCCATCCATGCTAAATGAAGACAATAATTGTGGACATTTAAAAACTGCCTATAAAGTTATAGAAAATACAATTTAATGGCTTGATTATGTTTTGAAATTTCATCTTTACAAACTTGCAGACTTGTATGAAAGTCAAATTGATATAACCATCTCTTCGAAATCTCCCAACGTATTGCAATTGCGAACTGAGCTTTTGAGCGTTTAAAAGAATATTTTCTCACAATCATAGAAATATTTTTCTCTATGTATTGCACGAGTCCTCGCATATTTGTTGATACCAGTGCTACAGACTCACCTCGAACAACCTGGAATCCTCAAAGTTACTTCCCGCCAGAGGCTGCCTGCCGTGCTGTTCGTTTTGTTGTTGCGGCTGATAACTTTTGCCCGGTGTCAACGGCACTCTACTCGCCGTATTTACGAGAGTGGACGAATCGCTCCAATTCGAGAACGTGTTGTCGCTGGTGATCGAATCCTTCACGTGCATCGTTGTATTACTGGCTGTGTTACCCCACCAGGTAATCGGCGGTTGTGGCGGCCGGTTGTCCTTCCACAAGTTAAACTGCTCCGTCGGCTCGTAATTGCAAAACATGTAGTTGTTCGCTGCAGGTTGCTGCTGCTGTTGCTGCGGCTGACTCTTAGCCACGTTGGCCTGATTCGGGAACGGAAAGTCCATCGCGTCGGAATTCTTTTTGTAGAACGATGGCGACGGTTGATTTTGCGACAACGGTTGTCCGAAAGATTGATTCTGGCCGAAATGATTGAAGTTGAGTTGGAAATTCGACGTGTTGGTTGGGCTCTGTGAATTCGCCAGCGTCGTCCGAGTCTGCTGCTGATGATCCTTTTCGTACAACGCCGACATCATCACCGACATGGTTGCCAGAGCCGAGCTGTCGACACTTAACTGTCTGCCATTGCTTTGTATTATGTTCTGCTGTTGTTGTAGCACGGTCAAAAGGTTCTGCTGCTCCATGCCCATCCCTGGTTGCAGCTCCATATTATTCGCTTGCAAACTCAGGCTTTGCGGTATCATATTTTGCTGAGCGGGTGAGCCCAGTCGCATGTTCTGCTGCAGACTATGAGACACGCTCTGCGACACTCTCTGATGCAACGGTCTGCTCTGATTGATCGTATGATGTATTCCATTAATGCCCTGCGGCATCGCTGCAGCCGGCTGGCTGTTGTTATTCAATTGCCCCTGCATTTGATAACGCGGCGCGTTTGCCAGCGGTGATCGATTCGCTATGAAGTTCTTGGCGAATTGCGGACTCTGCACGTTGAACGATTGATTCGGATAGCAAACCGGTCCCAATGTCGAAGCCTGCTGACCGCACTGCGCTGTCATTCCAGTGTGCATTTGCGGGAGCATTTGCTGAGTTTGTTGCTCCTTGGCCGCCAATTGATTCACTTGGCCGGGCATGGGAATGCTGGGCGGCAATTTAGCCGGTCTCTGCTGGCTCTGAATCGTCGCGGATTGGCTCTGACCGGCGGACGGAGCGAGCGGCATCGCCGACAGCCGATTCTGAACGTTAACGAGGACGTTGTTTGTATTGGCAGCTTCGTTAGCTTTGGGCATCTCCGAAATTGGCGTCGGTTTATTTGCGACAGAGGTGATCGATGGAACGATCGCCGCTTTCGCCTTTCTTTCATTTTCCTCTTCGACGAGCACGGGTGACACGTTCTTGAACGTCACCTGCTTTTGCTCGTTCTCCGCACGGCGCATGATCGCCTGCATTGCTATATTCTGTCGTGGTTTCCTCGCACATGGAAGAGTACTCGCCTCGCCACTGCTCGTTTCTGCGACATTCACTAAGGTGTCTCGGTTTCGCTCTAAGGAGCCTTGCGGCTTAAGAATACCCTGGAAAATTCTCTTATCTGCGGGAAACTCAATGTCGGTTTCCACAGAGCTTTTGCTACTAGCTGCTTCGGACAGTACTGGACTCATCGAAGTATCGAGTTGCTTATCCTTGCTCAAGCTGAGCTCCTCGAGTTCTTTTATCAATTCGTTACTGAGCCCAGCGTCGTTGCTCAGAGACGTGAATTTGTTATCGCCCGTTTTCTCCTCCGTCGTAATTGAGATTGGCGTCGATCCATTGATTTGATACTGAGCGAAGCAATGGCCCAGATGCAGGATGCGTACCGCTCGTAGCTTGTTTAATGTCGCGACATCACCTTCCAGCGCCGTATTCGTGAATCTGAGATTCTCGAAACTCTTCTCTAACGGTAGAAAACCTTGGAGGTCGCGGTCTTCTGGCAGTGGTGCTGCAACATCTGTTCCATGATAGCATTATATTATAAATATATTAAACTTAACTTTAATTTGTGACATTTCAATGAACACATCTCATGCATTCACAAATACAATATTTAGATAACAAATTTATGATAGATTACAACATACGATTTGTGATATTAGGTTACACCTAATATATTATTGCATTCGACAAACATTTTGTTAATTTTTGAATTTCATGAAATAAAACAAGTCAATAAATTAATTTCAAGCGATCTCGAAATAGTCTTAAGTGCTATTACTTACATTCGTCATATTTAAAATCCACCACACAATTCTGCAAGGCATTCAAAAGCACGCAAAGACTGGGCCAAATCTGTAATCTCGATGTAAAAGCAACTTCTTCCAAAACCGTAGGTTTTATGTTGATCCAATCAAGGCACAGTTTTACTGTAGAGAAGGGATAACGTTAGGACCAATCTCTATTTTGTCGGTCTTATAAAAAAAAAATGTAAATGTTGTAATCGCAATGATACACGATGTACTTACTAGAAGGCAACGCAAAGTACTCGATGATGGAGTTCTTTATCGTGTAGACAGGTAGAAGCAAGGCAGACAAAGTGCCTGCGATTAGGTCCAGTATACAGTCACGGGCGAGTTTTTTATCGTTGACTATTCGCTCGTTCTTGAACAGCTCCATACTGTCGGCGCTGATCCCGGCTGTGTGTTGCAGAGCGTATAGATTGATCACCAACATCTGTACGAGCATCCACGAGCTGAAGCTCTCAGTGGCTACCAACGCGGTCAGCGTTTCCGTCAATTGCTTGCTGTACGAGCACGCTAGCTTCAAATCGCCAAGAATGTGGATTATTCCATGCAGCTTGAGAAAGACGGCGATGTACTCCTGAGAATTTAATTTGGTCTTGCCGTCGATGTTGAAGGATTTGTCGTTCAACGCGGAGGACAGAGTCGTGGCGAGATTCGCCGTGGCGACGGGGAAGGGGTGTTTCACGGCCACCGAGCGCGCGTAGTGAAACACAGTGCCCAGTTTATCACCACGGGAAGCTTCTAGGAGCGCCAACTGATTGTACGGCTGTCCGCTGGACGGTGATAGCGAGACAGCGTGTCTGTAGAACATCTCGGCTTGCTTGCTCTCATTTCTGTACCGTGCGATATCGCCCAAGTGTACAAGGCAATACTGGCAGGCGTAAAAACAAGAAGATTTGTGAGGCGGAGACAACTTCTCAACGGCCTTCCACGGGGACGTACATCCGTACACGTAACCCTTCCTGCAACAATTGATCACATCGGGATGACACGTGGCTCCGTGTGAGCGCGAATGATTAAGTAATGGTACGGTACCAGCGAGGAGCAAACCGCTGATCAAAATCATGTACACCAATGCCTACTAATGCCCAGTGGGGCATCCCTTTATCTTATTTTATCTTTATAATGCTTCCCAAAAATGCCTAGTAATGCCCAGTACTGCTCTTCCTGGGAAAACAGAATAATTCCGATCGGAATCCATGATACCCCCTTTGGTTCTCTCCTGCATATTTAAGTCTTAAATGACGTAGGCACAACTTAAAAGCGTTCTTGTAAAAGAGAACCAATAAAAAAAATTGATTACACATCCTACTGACAATATACAAATTGTATACAGTAGATCGACCTAAGTTTATTAAAGACAAACGTATGCAAGGTATTGTGGCGATCGTGGCGCAGAGGATTGTGCGCTGGTCTGGTAATCCGAAGACTTGGGTTCAAAACCAAACAAAAACATTGTTGGTTTTTCGTTCGATCGCCACATATCGAAGTGAATATAGAGAGAGGTGTTATAAGAGGGCACGTTCCTTCAAAACCGTCTTGTAACCCTAAGGGGAATCAATAAAATGTACTAGTACTAGTACTTATGCAAGGTATTTGTACAGAGGTGGTTAGTTGCAATATTGGGAAATTTGTTGAGTTGAATGAGTTGTATTCTATTGTATTCTTGTTGAATGAGAGAGTATTCTATTCCGATTAAAAAAAAACATGAATTTAATCTCGGGATATAAACATCAGTATTGTGCCATCTCTTTAGAAAGGGAGAAATTTTCGAACAATAACAATAAAGTTGAAGGGTGGAAGAGCAACTGATTTGTAACCGGCAGGTGCAATCCTGTGTATTCCTTGGGGTTTCTGCGAGGTAAATTGACAATCTTGAGAGAAAGATGTGACGAAAGATAATTTAGGATTCGATATTTCGATAAATAAGTTAAAACACAAACATGATTCTCGAAATTAGAGACACGAACGTAAACGCGCGCAGAAGATACGCACCTCCTGAACGGCAGATCCAAATCAAACACGGTGCAGATCTCCTGCAGCAAGGTCAAGTAGAAGCCGCTGGCCGCCTCCAGGCACCAGCTGAGCAGCGCCTGGGACTCGCCGCGCTTGGGGTTTTTCCTGTCCTTGGCCTGCGACTGCAGAGTCACTATATAATTCTTAAATCCAAGACTCCACAGCTCCTGCTCGACCTTCTTGTCCAGGGCGTACTCCAGATCCAGTATGAGGACCTGCTGGTATATCTTCTGCAGCTGCTGCTGGCATACCCAGGCATCGTTGTCGTTGAGCAGGTCCTTGCAGCGCTGGACCTTGTCCTTTAACGGTTCCGCTTTCCTGCCGAATACGCATTTCGCACGTTAACCGGGGGAGGCGACCGCCAATTCGCGGGACGGATATTCGCGCGTCTCGTGATCGACGAGCGCGCATTCGTGATCGATCGTAACTTACTTGAGAGCCTGAACGGCTGCCTTTAGGCCCATATTCCGTCCTCCCTGCGGTCAAATACGACGTCCTTCACCTGCACAATTTATCACGCCGTTAGAAAATCATCCTGATCGAGGGGAGGGAGGAATTTAGCTTCGCGGGGGGGGGGCTTTGGTTTCGCGAGAACACGGAGATCGGTCGCCTCTCTTAACCTCTCGTCGTAGACCGCCTCGATTCTCGACCGCGGGCCGCTTATCGGCAAATCACGCGCGGACGAGGCAACGGAGGGCGATCGCGGACAAACGTACGTTTCGTCATCATCCAGCTGGGAGGGAAAAAGAGCGGACTGTGCACGATGCGGCTGCGGGAAGTCGCGACGCAATTGCTCGCGTTCGGCAGAAAGTTGACTAAGTGGCCGCCATTTTTTTTCCCCAGCGCGCACCGAAAGCACAAATAAGCGCAGCCCGTCGCGAAGTGCGCGACGTGAACCCAACCTAACCTAACCTAACCCTAACGATTCAGATTAGGTCCTCGGCGAGCGCGGCTTTCCTGTCGCGAAAGCGTCAAAGGGCTCGCGAAAAAGAGGCGAGCAAGGAGGCCTCTTCGTTCGTCACGAAATATTTTTGGAAATCACGAGCGGTGAGAGCACGTACTCGCATAGGTTAGGTGGATCGGAGGACGACGACGATGACGCGCGCGCGCGTGGGCAAGACTTTCTACGCCACGCGAGCACAGGTGTAGCCGGCGCAGAGATTAGTTTGGCGGCAGCGTTGAAAAGGTGTTGCCGGAATGTCGGCGAGGCGCGAGAATGGGAAGACTACGAATCCTCGGGGTATCCTTCGCTGACGCGCCTCTGCGCGCCGGTGCCTCCTGGAACGCGCACGCCTGCGACACGATATCTCGTGCGTTTCGAGCGCCGCGAGGTTAGCTCGGGCACGCGACACGTCGGTGAGAATGTCGAGCGTGGTCGCGAGGCCGCGTTTTAGCGGATATTTGACCACCTTTTGGCGTCTGCGGCAACGGCAGGTGAGTGCGCGCTGTGCGCGAAGTCTTGAAACGTCCCGAGTCTTCTTGCGAGTCCCGCTGCCTTTCCTTGGCAGCGTCGAACTCTCGACCCGACACGGCGCAACGCCCGGTCTACAATGAGTTGCTAGGACCTGTACGGGAATTCTGTAACTTGCAATTGATGCTTTTCGATATCGTTAACTAGTGACAGCCAATGGCGAGGACGATCTTCGAAAAAGACGCAGATTTTCATTGGTTCCTAGTTAACGTTATCGAAAAACCTCGATAGCAAGTTACAGAATTCCCGTACTGAGCAGAGAGATTGTTGTAACAGTTTACGACTCTGTCGTAAAACTCAAGTCGGGAGTCGACGCACAAAGAATTGTCGTGGACGTATGTCGCATTCGTCGCATCGTAAGGCTGATGGCAGAGAATAATCCGTAAAGGCCAATGTCCACGATGCTAGAA